TTGTTTTATAAAATTTCATCGATGCTGCTGCACTCTCGTGATCCTTTTGTTAATCTTTTTTTCGTTAAGCTGCACTTTGAACTTCCTGGCAGTCAGTAAATTCGGCTACTTGTAGAAACCTCCAGTATCTGTCTATATTTCTGAGATGAGGTATTATGTACACTATTTACATTTTTTGACACATTATGCTAGGCCACAAAAATCTCCTGAGCCGACCAAGCATAGAAATGGATACAATATGGGACCCAGTAATAAGGAGTGCCAGAGAAAAACGATAATAACAACAAAAATTGCAATATGAGCTCTGGCAAAAAACATGAAATGATAACACCAAAAATTGCAATATGAACACTGGTAAAAATGGTTGCTGAAGACATTAGGTTTATAATACCCAGAAATTCATGCACAGATGTCCTCGAGGATACATGGCACAGTGGATAACGGCGTTAGTTAGATTAGTTACAAAGAGTGTGAGTTCAATACCTGGCTAAGGCGGTAGAGAACTTAGAGAGAGGAATTAACAGGAGACATGGCACGTAGCAGTAGAACAGTCTACCCTGTGAGTGAAATAAAGGGTTCAGTTCGACATTCCAACCACCTGAAGAAGGCCGGAGCGTACAACGGCTGAAACGTTGTGATAAATATGGCGACAAAGATGAGGACAATAGTCCGAATAATGTAAATAGCGTTGTAGAAACCTCAACCTTTTTTTTTTAAATTACGGTCTCTTCATAACGTAGGCGATTATGGTCCTCACCAACTTCCTTTTGCTTAATATCTGTAGAATATGAATCGCTGACTTATTTGGCGTTTCGTTGTCTTTTCTGCGGTTTTGAAATCCACATTGTCCTTATTCGAGACTGGTTGCTAACAAAGGCTAGTGAGTTCAGTCTGTCTTTCTATTTTACTCGTACCTAAGGGAAGAGATAGATTCATGCCTTTCCTGAGAAAGAAATGAACGAAACAACCTTGGTCAGAATTTGAACTCTGTCTCAGTAACCGTTACGCCACTCACATATACATAATCTCCATATACTACTAGAAAAATATCTGTTTATCTCTCTCCATCTCTCATCTATGGTACCTCAGGTTCGACATTGGCACCACAGATATATGGACCTACGAAACATGGACTGAAAAAAAACCAAGAAAATATTGAGTGGATATTCTACATTCCAACTGTCCAATATACGGAAAAACAAACAGAAAGAGAGGGAGAGAGAGAGAGGGGGGGAGGAGATAACGAGCGAGAGAGAGAGAGAAGGAAGTAAGATATATACAGAGAGAGACATCTCTGCACACGAGCGCTCATATGCCTATTTTATTTCACTCGTGCGAAGATCAAATCGACCTCTGTGAATTCCCACCACCGAATAACCGCCTTCTCCTCACCCGATCCCAACCTCATTTCAGATGGAATCTCGCTCGCGAGGCAACTTGCTTGCCGTTAGAATCTAGCAATGCTGCCTGACGACTTTGGTCTCAGACCTCAGGCCTCGAAAGAACACATCTATGTCTACGGCATCGAGTGGCACCTCTCTCTCACTCTCTCTCACTCCCTCTCTCTATTCCGATCATTTACATCGAGCCTAAACGAAACGGGCCTGACACGAAAATGCTCATCACGCACAGAGTGACCGTTACTTCCAACGCATAGACTGAGAAGGCGATCTGTTTACAGAGAAAGCAATCTATTATTTATGACGACTTGTTGACACTTCATAGCACAATTTCATCTAAAAGGAAAGTTAATAAACAGACTTTTAGTTCTATACTAACAAAAGCAGTGATATACACAGGCCGAAATACAACTTAAACCATAGCCAGTAAAACTCATAATCATTTTTCCGTCTGCATAAACACTTACGTGCTCTTTCTTACACACACACACACACACGTATATATATATATATATATATATATATATATATATATATATGTATATATCTATAATATATATATATATATATATATATATATATATATATATATATATATCTATAATATATATATATATATATATATATATATATATATATATATATATACGCACACATCAAGATATATATATATATATATATATATATCTTGATGTGTTCGTGTGTATATATATATATATATTTAAATGACTGTCCCGTTTTCGACGTATGAGGATCTGACAGCATAATTGATTCAGTTATGAAGTTTTCAGCGATTTATATAGTGATATTCACGAAATTTAGGTTTTAATGTTTTCTTCTTGATTTTTTATATATATATATATATATATATATATATATATATATATATATATATATATATATATATATATATATATATATATAAAATCAAGAAGAAAACATTCATTTCGGTTATAATTTATTTCGTAAATAACTATATATTCATCTTTTCAGACCGAAATCTTTTTTTAGACGTCCGATTGCTCCAAGCCGGAAGCGAAACCCGACTGATTTGAAAGATATCTTACCTCTAGGCCACTGTCGCGCGGCAGAATGGAATGGAATTTTAACGTTTTTATTATATGATATATATATATATATATATATATATATATATATATATATATATATGTGTGTGTTTCATTGAATAATATGGACATATTGTATATGGACATATTATACTGATCCTTCCTTCCAGTTTCTTGATGTTAAGATGAAATTCATAAAACAAAGTCGCCGGAAATTTCTTTTTTAACCCAAGTGCTTTCGACCTTTTCTAAGGTCATCTTCATTTTCAAAGACAAACTTATTCTAACTGCGATAAGATCTAAATCCCGTTGTGAAACTATAACACGGCGCCTAAGTGCGTGTTTTTATTTCTATTTTTTCAATAACTCTCATAAAAGAATGCAAATTTTATCGCATTTACAATAAGATTGTCTTTGTAATTTACCACTGAAAATAATCTTAGAAAATCGCGAAAGTATTTGGGTGAAGAAAAACTACGGCGCTTTCCTTGACGAATTTTATCTTAACATGAAAAACTCATTAGACAATTAGAAAGGAACAGTATAAAAATAGACACTATATGTCAATATTATTCAATAATATATATATATATATATATATATATATATATATATATATATATATATTACAATTTACTTTTTATGTGAATGATTCATTGTAATATAAATTGAACTACACCGCACACACACACACACACACACACACATATATATATATATATATATATACATATTCTTACATGTTTTTGTTGTAGTATCCTAAAATAAATAATATTGCTTTACTATGTATTGAGTCCTCTTTTAAATGTTACGAACGTTGGAAGTTTACTCTATTCGTTCTCCTCGTATCTATCTATCTATCTATCTATCTATATATATATATATATCTCTCTCTCTCTCTCTTTCTCTCTCTCTATATATATATATTAACTGATTTAAAATACAGTTTCTTCGCTACACAGGCATTACCATGTTTCAAAAACCGAAGTTAAAACTTCAAATTTAATTATATAATTAAATTAAAAGCATTAGTTCTGTTTCATCTTCAAGCGAATTTTGGAATAACTTATTTTTAAATTTACTGAGTTTCAAACGCACATATAATTCATAATTTCTTGTTTCCAAAGATACAGAGAAATCCAATCATTCAGACAGGGGCGGTAGCGTGTTCATTTTTATTAACTATTGTTGTATCAATTATGAGTTACGTTCGATAAAGAGGTTAAGTCTAAGTATGGTAGGGATGCATTTTTCAACGAATTTTGAATGTCGTCTGTTTTTTTTTTTATTAACGACAAAAATATATATATGTTACTCATTAATTCATATTTTCAAATTATACAATACATTATATTACTATGATTTGAAAATATGAATTAATTTCTGATGAATATTATCCTGATGGACCGAATTTTACAATAGGGACGACTACTAGAAATATATTTTTTCAATAATTATTTTCATATTACTATATAAATTAAGCACTCCTGTACACTAATATTTAAAAAAAAAAAAAGAAATAGTGAATATTAATAAAAGTTAGTAGGGGGTCTTGTTTGCTACGTATATTCTTTGTAAATTGATCCCCCTACGGAAGCCAAAAACAGATGTGCTCAAACGACGTCATTTAATATACAGGGTGAGACAAAAGTCGCAAAGGGTTAATCAAGTAATCATGTTTTAAATGACTAATTTGTTTTGATATTTTCTTATTTTGCAGAAACAATAGGTCACTAGACCTCACACCCTTGGATTCTTTTTTCTGCGGGGGCCATTTGAAAACCATTTGTTTATCAGACGCGCCCAGCAAATATTGAGGAACCTAAAGAAAGAATTAAATATGAATGCAGTAAAATGACGCGGGAAACTTTACATTAATGCATCAGATAGTTACAGAATTGAAATGTGTTTTGAAAAAGAAGGAGGTCATTTTGAACAGCACGTATAACATTTAAATATCTAGTAGATAAAATTTTCATGCGTAATTATACTTTTAAAAATTATCTCTATGGTGTACGCCTTCTGCCTCCCCCTGTATATTTCATATATATTTATTTTTTAAAATTAGTAATCTGGGGTGCTTTATCGAGAATAATCTATGAAAAAACGAACCCAGATTACGAAATTACGTGGTATGAGCAAATTTTGGTTTAACTTTCGAAGGTTGGTGTGTGTGTGTGTGTGGGGGGGGGTAAATTACAATTAATTTTGATAGCAAATTGGACCCCCTATTTACTTAAAAAAAAATTAAAACACAAAAAAGTTGGTTGATTCATTCATTTGTTTTTTACGACACAACCTTTTGCAGCTTATTTCAAACTAGAAAATATTATTGAATTGTAAGTAATAATAATGATTTACTGTTACAGGTCTTATTGATTAACCCATGGCTGATATGAGAATGAAGTGGATTCAAGACCTTCCCAAGGGTATTTGGTCATAAGTGAATATAACGAACCCAACTGGAATTGGAACTCGGCTCACCGATGTCCAACTCCGAGCCACCATTCATTAAACCATCTGCACCTCAAGGCTTACAGTTCTTGGCATTCTAAAGCGGTCACCCATTTAGATACTGACTAGGATCGATGTTGCTTAACTTCGGGGTTCGAACGAGAACCGGTGATTCAACGTGATATGACCGTAAGCCCCCAGTCCACGAGCTCAAGAAAAAGAGAGAATCTGTAAAAAAGAAAGAAAGAAAGAAAGAAAGAATGGACGCACTTCCATTTACGTAAATTAATTACAATTAGGCACTATGAAAAGAAAATCCTCAAACACTAACTGATTCATAGTGTAACCTTCAAAATGAAATAAATGTCCAGTGTATTATTTAATCATAAAGTGAATTTCGGTTAAAAAAAAAAAAATGGCACAAGTTGAATGAGAGGAAAAAATAGCGCAAGTAGAATGAGAAGAAAAAAATGTCACAAGTGTAATAAGTGGAAAAATGGCACAAGTGGAATAAGAAGGAAAATGACTCATATGGAATGAGAAAAAAATGTCACATGTGGAATAAGAGGAAAAATGGTACAAGTGGAATAAGAGGAAAAATGACAAGTTGAATAAGAGGAAAAAATGGCACAAATGGAATAAGAGGAATAATGTCAAAAGTGGAATAAGAGAAAAAATGGCACAAGTGGAATAAGAAGGAAAATGACTCATATGGAATGGGGAAAATGACACAAGGGAATAAGAGGAAAAATGTTACAAGCGGAATAAGAGGAAAATGGCATAAATGGAATTAAAGGAAAAAATGGTACAAATGGAATGAGAGGAAAAATGGCACAACTAATTTTGCATGCTGTGTCATTTATGCTAATTCACCTAAATGCCTGCTAAATATGCCAGCCGAAGGTGTACAGCTTCTCCTACTTGCGTTAGTTTTATCAATGTAAACATGAAGTTCTTTTTTTATATGTGCTGTTTCTCTTCAGGACGTTGGCGATCATGGTTCTCCACAATTTCCTTCCCTTTGTAGCGTTTAATAAATTTTGTCATCTCTTCCAAACCCTATCTCGCCATCCATTCATTCAAGCTCGCCAGGTAGGTTATGTGTTGCTCTCCTCTGTACAGACTGGATCCTATAGCCTTGGGTGGCAACTGGTCTAGTATAAGGACAACTCTGAATCTCAAACCTCCAGCTATGGGTTAAATAGCCTCAACAACCCGCAACTGGGCAAGCGTGGTGTGTACAGCAACACCCCTGAAGACATGGTCAATTAAGGATGATTTCGTCCAACGGGAGTGACAAGGATTTGGATTTGGAAATCCGACTAATGGTAGGTAGCTAAATGACAAAATTGGGGAAAGGTTGTAGAACCCGGACTGTCCTATTATTTACCGGAAGTGGGTGATTAGAAAACTAGGATTCATACCTTCCCCAAGGTTATTAACTCGTAATATGAATGGAATTCTTCAACCTGAACCACAGTCAATTACTATAACGTGACACATGCAGTTATGTTTCATTGTAATTTTTTTAATAGATAATTGAAAATTATTGGAAAAATTCATCATTAGAATGCTAAATATTATTTAAAATTAAGTTTCCTGCATTAAAAACAATATTTAGAAACCTTGAAGCTCTTTTTGAAACAGGCAGCATCACGTTTCCAAAACTGCGACCAGATTTATTAATGACCTTAATTCTGAAGAATTTTTTTAATATATTTATCTAAATTCCATTTATTTCAGATTATCTTTTAAAACATTTTTTTTTGTTTTTAGGTTCGAAATTATACTTTCACCTGATGGCTTTAAAGTTTACATTAAATACGATAATCTATGTGCAATATGTTTTTTTTAAATTTTATTTATTTTAACTTTAGGTAATTTTAACAGAACTTGGTCTTAACAAATTAAAAGTTTGAGACAAATATTTACCAGGTTTATTTAATATATTATATATATATATATATATATATATATATATATATATATATATATATATATATATATATATATAAAATTAAAAAAAGAGTTCACGTATGCATCATATAGTTTATAAAATAGAGTAGATAAGTTAGTCAATAAAAAAAGTCAAACGAAAGAGTACGGATGTGATCAGCACGAAAAATATTTATTAATATTAACCACGTGACAAAAATGAAGCACGGAGATTAAGGTTCCATGTTCGGAATTTTCGAACACGACTCTGTTCTTCGTCAGCGGATGAGAGAAATAAACAGAGAAACGGTAGAGACTCACCAACGGTAGTTCTTGAGGCTGGGGAGAATCCTATTATATATATATATATATATATATATATATATATATATATATATATATATATATATATATATATATATAAAGACTAATATTCCATAGTTATAATGATTTATTACATTGGAATCGAATAATCACGATCGAATTCATCAGACATACAAATTCAAAAAAGTGAATTTGTAGGTTTGATGAATTCGATCGTGATTACGATTCCAATTTAATAAATTATAATCATGGAATATTAGTGTTGAATTTTTTATATTATATTCTTACTCTTTCCTGGACATTGAGTTCTACCTGGATTCTATCCTCTTGGGAATTTATATACACACACACACATATATATATATATATATATATATATATATATATATGACCACTAATAATATATATATATATATATATATATATATATATATATATATATATATATATATATATATATATATATATGTATATAAGTGTGTGTGACTGTTTGTGTGTATGTGTGTGTATAATTTATTCGAAAATTATAGCATAAAAAATGTTATAAAATCACTACAAAATAGCATTTTGTTTCAACACTTTGGTGTCTCATCAAGTGATGGTGTTGAATTTAGAAAAAAGGGTTTTATGAAGCTCAAATCGATCCAACACCCCTCGCTATGGGAAAAACGGTGTTATATAAGCTGCCAATAATGACCAATCAAAATACAAGTACATGAGAATTCAAAAAACTTGACAACAAACCTTGGTTATAACAATTAATGTTTTAATGTTAGGGTGAGACTAAAATTTTAAATTTCAAATTTAATCTGTATTAAGTTTAAAATATAAAATTATTTAAAGAAGAAATTATATATATTTCTTCTTTAAATAATTTTATATTTTAAACTTTTTTTATATATATATATATATATATATATATATATATATGTGTGTGTGTGTGTGTGTGTGTGTGTGTGTGTGTGTGAAAATATATAGAAAATAGGAAAAAGAACTCGTTAGGTAAATAATCCAAAAGTTCTTTAGTATTTTAGTTATTATTTCTAAAAATAGTGCTCGATACAAAAAAGTAGAGCATAAATATAATTATTTATTTAAAAATATGATTCCAACACGCTACATAAGAGTTCTCATGTTTCAAAACAAGAGCCGAAAGCTTCAGTATAATTATTTGAATTAAATTGAATTAAAGTAAGCTCTGTTCCATCTTCAATCGAATGTTTTTTGGGAATGACTTATTATTATTATAGTTATTCCAATTTGTATTATTATATTTATTTCAATTTTTTAGTTATTATTATAATTATTCCAATTTTTTTTTTGGAATAACTTATTATTATTATTATAGTTATTATTATTATTATAGTTATTCAAAAAAAAAAAATTCGCTTGAAGATGGAACAGAGCTTACTTTAATTCAATTTAATTCAAATAATTATATTGAAGTTTTCGGCTCTTGTTTTGAAACATGAGAAATCTTATGTAGCGTGTTGGAATCATATTTTTAAATAAATAATTATATATATATATATAAAAGCCTGGTAAGTTGCGCTTAAGAAAATTTGAGTCTCGCTTCATGCTTAAATCAGACTTAATTTTTTAATTTATCTGAGCCTTAGCATTTGTTTTTTAAGCTTAATAATAAAAAAAATGTGCATATTGAAATATTTATTTAATGAGTGGCAATGTCCAGGCGCGCGCTCTTGCGTCTGAGTGATTAATTGTTGCTTTTCATTTCAAATACTTCATTAATTTACTTGCTTATTAATAACTAAATAATTCTGTTAAACAACGATTTCTATCGCCGTTTTTTTAACCATAAATCTAACACGCATACTGCGTGCGCTCTCTCGCCTACACGATATATATATATATATATATATATATATATATATATATATATATATATATATATATATATATATATATATCATTTTTTTTTTTCTTTCCGCTTCCTGGTACTATTTCTCCTGGCCTCCATTTTCACATGTGTCGTTTCTCGGCCATCGTCTCCTTTTTCTTCTCTTCTCATCAAAGTTTGTACTCTAGCCTCCCTTCTTAGTCGGCATACTCGCACAGGCTGGCACGCATAGCCTTCACCCACACGTAGAGAAAAAAGTCGACGTGGAGTGGGGCTTGTGGGCAAAAGTTTGAAAGACACGGGGCACCGAGACGACTAGCCCCCACTTGTTGAAGGAGGAAAACCTGCGTCAAGCGCTGTCTCTTTTTATCGTTTCTTCCCTGCCCCCACTTTTGCTACCCTCTCCTATTTTTTTTTCTAGCTTGTGGGTAGTGCTGCAGTTGTTGTTGTTATAGGTGTGACGTCGTCGGACGAAAGACTTAATGGTTTTTTTTTTTGGTTTGTTTATTTATTTATTTATTTTTTCCTTAAGAGAAAGAAGAAGCAAGTAGGAACAAGACCTGTGTCTTTCTTGATTTTATTCAGTAGGAAAAAGACACATCTTTCTCTCCTGCGCTATCAGAAGAGAACTTTCACGTACCTTGTCATAAGAGGACCACTATCGGCTGCTCTTACTGACATTTAAATACTTGAATATTTCTTAATTTTCCACTGATTTTCTTTATATTTTTTTTTTAAATCTTTCTTTGGAAAAATGCATTCAGAAAAGGTCTCTACAGCAACTTCAACGTCTTCAAGTGAAAACAGAAAAGTAAGTTAATGTTTGCAAAATTCTTCATTTTATCGCACAAAATTAAAATACATTTTATTTTAAAATATATTTTAGCGTCACAAACTGTCCAAGTGTTTATTTGTTTTGATAATATCATCGCAGTTGCTGACAAGTTAAAAAAAAAAAAAAAAAAAAAAAACAACAAACTAAAAGTGACTGTCCTTAAAAGCGCATTTTTTTTTTGTTAATAAAGACTGTGACTCACAAATAAATGAGTTCACCATCGAAATGTCTCCCCGGCTCTTTGCCGGGGAAAATAGTTACAAGTGATCGCCATAAAATAACGCATAGTCTTGTAAATTTCTAACATAAAAAAAATATTTAAAAGAAAATAAATAGTATTTAATTTAAATCAGTATTTAAATAATTTATGTAAGTAAATTGTAAATAAATAAATTTATCAGTTTCTTCCTCACTAACGTTCGTAGCATCCTTTTATCATTTTTGCAAATATCTTCATGGCAATTGTTCTAACGAGCTTCTTACCGCCTTGGTGCATCGACTGCACGTATTTAAGTGTTTAACTAGATTGGCAACTAGGTCTCTTCATGTTTATTGTTGAACAGTTACATGCAACTGTAAGTTCTATTCTAATAGTTTATTTTCTCGCCTGTGGATCTCTCTTGCGATTTCTTGCTTTCCTACTATCTACAATCTTCAAAAATTTAAATACAACGCCAATCGCCATTTACCGCATTCCTGATATTTGTTCCTTTATTGTCCTTTCTTCTCATTAAAATCTTATTCTCGTTCACTCTCAGTAACCCTTTGCATCCTTGTGCATTACTACATTGTTTGGGCGTGAAATGATTTAAAAAAAATAACAAAAATATAAAAATCTTGTTGGTATGAGGTGGCTGTATGTTCGTCCGATAAGGTCGCAAAATTTTTAACAAACTTTTTTTTTTTTATATATATATAAATTATATGGTATTTTTTGGACTACTTTTTTTTATGATCAAGATCTAAGCATTTATTGTCGCTAAAACAACGCAACTACACAAACACAGACCAAGTTCGGGAAAGAAGATCATGACTTTAAAGAGTAAGACGTAAGAAAAGAAAACAGAATTTGCTATAAATTTAATTTGTATGCATTGCTCATGTCATTAGTCGGGCTTTCAGTGTGAAGATTTTGGAGTGAATAATTAACGCACACAACCTGTACCCCAGCATGAATTTCAGAACAGTGTGCAAACATGCACGTGTTATATCTGACTAAGTACACACTTACAATATCGAGTAATCATAAATAGAAAAGACACGTAATGTAATAAAAAAAAATGATATCTATTCATTTTATTTGCTGTCATTGATTCTATTTTTTTTTACAGCTTTAAATGTTTATTCATTATTTGTTGTCAATAAGTGTTTTTATAGAACATGCTTGTATTTTATAGACCTTAGACTTCTTTCTGAAAACACCGTTTAATCATTTGCATGCAGATACCTACAAAAACGTGAATATTTTAAAAGATTTTATTATTAATTTAAAAAAATAATGTACACAGTGATTTAAAACGAACGGACCATGCTTCCGTCTTCTAAAAAGTATTTAATCTTTGTTCGGGATATGAATTTCGTTAAAATTAAAATATGTTGGCATTTGTTTAAAAATGAAAGAAAAACAAAAGAAAATTGGTAAATTTTTAAATATTTGCTTTTTGTAAGCCGGATAAAGGCATTTACTCTGAGTTAAAAATTAAAAAAGACATCAATATAAAATAAAAATAAATATAAATGATAAAGTCACTCGAAATATTTACGAAAAATACGAATGTTTTCCTTTGCATTATGGCGAATTAAAATCTTTATCGACGACAAAATTGTTTCCCGCTCATTTAATTTAAAAAATGTCCTCTATTGTTTAAAACCTTTCTGTGTTGTTTTCCAAACATTTATATTCCATCCTTTTAAACTTAAAGGCTTACATTGTATGTAAGCAGTGTAGTTGTAGATTGAGATTCAAAAAATAATTAAAATAAAACAAAAAATAAACAAAATATTTTTTTCAAGACGAAAATTTTTTCAGTGTGATTCAATCATCTGCACAGTTACATTATTATTATTATTATTATTATTATTATCATCATTATTATTATTATCATCAGACCCTTGATTGTTTTATCCCCTTCCTTCTCCATGAATTGATTAAAGATATATTTATTTTTGAATTAACACTATTCATATAGCATGGATTTAAAAGATTGACAGTTGATAAAGAAGGGTTTCTAATTTTGAATATGTGTGTAAAGTAAAAATAAAATGAAATGTTTTTACCATCTGAGCCGCCCAGTACAAATTAAATAACCAATGAATTGTCTTTTAATGGAATTTTGAAATGTCTCGCGCGCATGCGTCTTGGCGGTTTGCGCGTGGGTATTCTCGTTCATTTTTTTTCCCCCACGCGACTCTTCCAGTAATAAGTGTGCATTATTCGAAACTGTGTCAGGGATTCATGAACGTGGTATAAAATTGAAAAGATATACATTTAATGTTGGCTTCATAAAGGCGTTTGTTGTTATGGAATTAAATTCCAAAATCGAAAAGTCGAGGTAAAATGTGTAATAATCAATAATTAACAACTTCACTAGCTAACAAGAGATGTAATTAAGGTTTCGGCATTAAAAGCGTAAAATTTTTAAAAATTATTTTAAATTGAAAATAATCGTGACACATATATATATATAAAATATATACATATATATATATATATATATATATATATATATTTTGTGGAGTTTGTATGTAGAAAGTGAAGAAGTCTAAACGTTTATACACTGTTTATGTGAGATGAATGTGAATTGTAATGGTTTAGGGGCTCAGAACGAGAAATCGGTGAGTCGAGTTCGAATACGAGTCGAGTTCATTACATTCACTTTCGCATAAATATCTTTGGAGAAAGGTATGAATCCATCTCTTCTCTCACGAGCTATGGGTTAAAAAGCAAAGCTCTCTAGTTGTGATGGCAACCACTCTAAAATAAGGACAACTCTGAATTCCAAAATGGCGAAGCACACACACACACACACTATACAGCAGGGGTCGGCAACCTTTTGGAGAGAGCGGGCCAGACAACCATTCAGACATTTCGGAGGAGCGCCATGATATCAAATATACTACACAGTGTAACCCGGATATAAGAGAGTTGTCGGGACCGGAGAAGAAGTCTCTTATATCCGGGTTTCGTCTATTTTATATACATTAACACAGGCTCTAATTTGGGACCAGAGAAAATCTCTTATATCCGGGTTTCTCTTATATCCGGTCTCTTATATCCGGGTGACACTGTATAATAAATCGTCTCGACCTCAGACCGCTCCGACCAGAAGGCTGCCTTCGTTTGGAGGTTTAAAGAGAAAACAACTCAGTTAATGTTATATTATTTAACCCTGGAACACTAACCATGGGTATATAGTACCCAGTGCAAATTTTCCTATTTCTAATTACAATTATCCGTACCTGATTTTCTTATCTAAATAATGTTTTTCAGATCCAATTAACGTTAACTCAAAGTACAAAGTTTGAAGTGCCTGCATGTAAAATATTTCAAATAAAGATTTATATTTAATATTTTTTTGATATTTTCAAAATCGGGTATGATATACCCATGGTTAGCAGTGGTGTAACGTTAATTGATGATTAATGTTCTAGGGTTAAAACAGGTTCCTTATTTTACTGCAGAAATAACTGCATAACAAATAACACAATCAACAAAAGATGCAAATTCCTTACTACGGTTAAGTTGGCGGTCCGGACAAAAATCCTTCACGGGCCGGATGAGATTAAGGGGTTGCCGATCCCTGCAATACAGCAATTGAAAAGATTATGGAATTCGCAATTAAATAGGATACGGGATTGTGGACTCTGATCCCGACTGAGTAAGATAGGGTTTATATGTGAAACTAGCAGCATGGCCCGGCGTTGCCCGTGCTTGATTCAAAAATCGTCCGACTCGTACAGCAATCGCTATCATTTGACTTAAAATATTTTTGTCCTTCCTTGCCTTTAAAGGAGTGCCCTTTGTCGTGCTGATGTTGCTACATGCCTTACTTCTTGCCTATCTCACACTGCGAATTTTTTCTAAGCTCTATACTAAACATTAAATCTGTTAAAAAAAAAAAGAACTAATAAAATGAACACAAAACGATCAGCTTTAAAAAAGGACTCGTAACTGGAAAAACCGAATGAAAAAGAATGTTAACAACAAATTTTTCACACCCAACGCAGTTCTGCGGAATCAGAATCAACGTTGAGTTGAAGCAAGCGAATGAGCTAATTGGAGTAAAGTGCCATGCAGATTTAAATTTTTCCCACTTGTGACGAATGTAGCTATCGATTTATTTTTTTTTTTCATGCTAGCATGCTAGTTAACATTCATGTCAGTCAGCTGTTGGCTCTCACGCTGGCCAATAGAATCTTCCTGCCTATTCGTGGCAGCCAGCTATAGGCTCTCACTCTGGCCAGTAGAAAATGGCTGAAAACTACATGAAAATTGCCGTAGAAGCATGAAAAAATCGATTATTTCCACTGGTAGGAGTTGGGAAATGCAAAGTCGGTCTTAGCCTTCCCGCTAACTTGGAGCATGTGCATGTAAATTTTGGTGCAAATCTGTTGAAAATTGCGGCCGTGCATTCGTTACACACACACATCCTGCCTTTTATACATAGAGATAACGGGTTAAGCAAAAAATGGTGAGGGTGATTAACTGTATTCCAATCTCTTGTTGCCGATATTCGATATTCCAACCAAAGGTTAATAGTATACTTAACATTAGTATATAATGTAATATAGGGCCGACGTCCTGAAGGCGTTATGCGTCTATATACGTATCAATTCATCGAAATCTTTATTTGTATTTGGTGTGAAAGGCACCGGTATTCCATATCAAAATTTGGGTGCTCCGTCCTTTCTGAATATGCAGTAGATGTCCAGATGGGCATAAAAGAGAGTCATTACGATTAGATTGATTAAAGACA